CTTGGTATTTGGTTTAATTCAAATTTCTCGAAAGAAGGGAGTAAGCTCATTACCAATTTAAGGTAGGAGGCCATGGCCTTATGCCGAGCTACGAAGTTGCTATTCACCTGTCCCACAATAAGCTGAAGTCACTACTGATGTGAAGGTAGGCCTCATATTCCGCTGCATTGTTCGTGGCTTTAAATCCGAACCGTATAGCACTATTCAATTTATGACCTTCGGGGCTTACGAGAACCACACCCGCGCCTGAGCCTGTTTTCCCAGCTGAACCGTCTACGAATAATTTCCACGTAGGAGGCTCAATGGGCTCCGTAGCCTCGTCCATTTCAGGGGTATTAGTGAATTATGCTACAAAATCTGCTAAGGCCTGGCCTTTGATAACGGTTCTAGCTTTGAAGAGGACCTCAAATCACTCAATTCCACTACCCATTTCAGTGGCCTTCCTGAAGTGTCAGGTTTTTGCAATATTTGCCTGAGAGGAAAATTTGTCAACATATAGATTGTGTGAGCTTGAAAATAAGGCCTCAACTTGCGAAATGCAATTATCAATGTCAAGGCCAACTTTTCCATATTTGGATATCGAGTTTCAAGAGGCAGTAATGCCTTGCTGATGTAGTAGACTGGTAGTTGGGTACGGCACTTATGGCATCAAGAGAGACAGCCAAGTATAGTTGTAGAATCTCTCCAAGCTTGGGTTTGGATGGAGGGGGGCCTTGTCCCATGTGCTTTTTGAACCCCTGGAAAGCCTCTTCACACTCCTCGGTCCATTGAAATTTTTGGCCTCCTTTTAGGACCTTAAAGAATGGGAGGTACTTATCTGTGGATTTCGATATGAAGCGACTTAAAGCGGCCACCCGGCCGGTCAGGCTCTTCACTTCCTTTTGGTTTCTGAGGGGATTTCATTTCAATCAATACTTGTATCTTTTCAGGATTTGCCTCAATGCCTCGTTGATTGACTATATACCCTAGAAACTTGCCTGTTGCAACCCCAAATGCACACTTGAGGGGGTTCAACTTCATGCAATACTTTCGCAAAATTTCGAAGGCTCCATTAAGATGAGTTATGTGATCACTCACCTTCAAGCTTTTGACGAGCATGTCGTCCACATAGACCTCCATAATGTTACCAAGCAGGTCGGCAAACATCCTGTTAACGAGCCTCTGATAAGTAGCTCCAGCCTTTTTAACCCAAAAGACATCATCTTATAGCAGTAGAGGCCTCGATCCGTGATAAATGAAGTATGTTCCTCATCACCTGGGTACATAGGAATTTGGTTGTAGTCAGAATAAGTATCCATGAAACTTAGCGACTCATGTTCCGCAGTGGAATCTACCAACTGATCAATTCTAGGGAGTGAGAAACTGTCTTTTGGGCATGCCTTATTAAGGTCGGAAAAATCAATACACACCATCCACTTC